CTTCATTGTCTTATTACAAGTGCTTAATATCAAATTATCTCATTTTGAGTGAGAAAATACCAATTCCATTGGCTGATCATCTTATTTACCTGCTCAGATTAAGCTAAATCACACTTAAATTAAGACATCTTTAGTTGTTTTTGTGGTGAACTCACCTTCTAACCATGAACCAATCTTAATTATAGAGAAAAAGTTGATAAACTTCTTTTATGTTTACTTTATAAAAAGGAAGAAAGGATGAATATAAACTTTAGTTATCCTTTTTTCTATGATGGTTAAAAAAAATAGGATAATTATGTAGAATTTGATATTATTTCTCTCTTTGTTTTACGGATTAAGTAAGTACTTTATTTACTTTTTATCCAACTTTATTTTTCTCTGGTAGTAAAATATCAAAACCCACACCCAATTTAACAAACCAGTACTGAATGATGCTAAGTGATGCTAATTTTAAAACCCCAAATCTTGTTAGTTTTTTTCTGTACCTGTTACAGTATTGTGGTAATTAAAGTACAATTATGCACATGCTTACTTGGAAACAATTATAATTTTCCTGTGCTTTGATGCAGAGCCTAATATTTGGCACATATTTTGATCATGGCTTACAGATTTTATTTTTATATTTAATTTTTTGTCAAACAAAGTTTTTAAGTAATTTAAATAAACAAGTATGGGCCAATAAACATGGTTTTCCTTCTTATTTATGGCAAATAAAGTTCAGAGTGATTAAGTTAGTGCAAATACAAGTGGTGAAATGTACTAAAATTAAACATCTATATACAATTATCACAGAAAACTTACTGAGACCAAAATAAAGCAGGGAAACATGGTGCAGCTGCTTCTGCTCTCTTTAAACACCAGACCACTCTTGCGAACTGATAAGAAACGGCTTCTAACAAGCCAGATAAAAACAGTGAAAGAGCCTGATACACACAGCTGAGTGGGAGCAGAGCCAAATGTCAGCCTGCAGGTGTGAGTTTACAAAGAAGCAGTTGGAGAAAAGGGCAGCCATGCATTCATCTTTACAAACATGCCGATAGCTGTTAACACACCACTGACATCTAGAGGAATAGAGCAAGCAATTACTCACCTGAACGCTCACATTACATCAACAATGTACTGTAGTTTTATTATAAACCTAACATTAAATTGTACATGACCCATTAATCTTGCTTTAGAGACAAATTCATGTCCACATATGACAGGGTGGAAAAGTGGGATTAAAAAAGGAAGAGCTGTAGCTAAAAACAGAGGGTAAAAAATCAGAACAGAGTGAAATAATGCTGATAGCTCATCAGGTAGAGATAGTCACACATATTTGTCCTTATAGATGTCATGAGCTCAGGTTTTTAGCTTTTTATTTTTATGTAAAACCAATTACATAAACCAAATACCTAGGAAAACTAACTTTAGAAGTTCTACAATAGCTGCATAAACATAGATAATGAGAAAAGCTAAAAAAAAAGGAACATGTGCTTCAAGGAAACTTTGTTTTTATTGTGTCTCTTCAGGACTGGATTATCGCCCCTGAAGGCTACGCCGCCAACTACTGTGATGGAGAGTGTTCTTTCCCTCTGAACGGCCACATGAATGCCACCAACCACGCCATCGTGCAAACGCTGGTAGGACCACCCTACTCCACCTAATGCATACTTATATACAATATGTGTGTGTCCACGGTGTGATGCCCTGTTGATGCAATGGCATTATTGTGCTCATAGAGGTGTTTTTTCAGATAGAAATAGCGCAACTGTGTGTATCAAAGTTATCTAATCCAATAATTATTGGATTAGGTAACTTTATCAATCATTTTGATTTGAAATAACTTAAAACATACAGTAGCCCCCAAATTCATTCATTGAAACGAACTTTTTAGATTTTGTCTTGTAACAAGCAGCATAATACATATATATGGATTAAATTAAATATGGTAGTCCAACAGAAAGAAGTGCATAATTGTGAAAAGAGAGAAAAAGGGAGACATGGTTTTGAAATGGTTTGTAAATAATCCATGATTCTATCACCTTTACATTGATCTCCCAGTCTGTTGTGGTTTACTAAGCTTTGCACTTCAACGTTTTTTAAATTCTTCTTTGCATAACGACTCAGTCTCAGTCAAACTAAAAAATGAAAAAGAGTATCTGTGATCTTAGACTTGTAACTTTGACCATAGATGTCTAATTGTGCTGGACTTTGACTGAGCCAATTTAATATAAAAGTTATTGATCTAAGGCATTTTACTGTATTTGTCTCAAATCTTTGGTGCATATAATAGGTTTTCTTCCATAATGCATCCTAAAAAAGACCATTGGTGTCAACTTCTCAGAACAGCTGCATCTTAACTGGGGTTAAATATTGCACTAAATAAAAAAATACATATCAGATTTTCTGATTTATCATGGTTTTGTTTCACACATTTTTAAAAAACTATGGATAATTTTCCAGTCGTGTGCTAAGTTGTGTTGTAACGCTAACATTTAAAGGAGATAAATATAACTGGGCAAAGAGAAATCCTTTATATAACATGAGGGTTGAATTTCCTATGAAGATGTTTTTGATTTATTTATTTTTTGTCACATTTAATATTTCAGAAAATCAATAAAAAAATAGACAAATTATCCACTCATGATTTTGTTTATTTAGGTGAAAAAGTTTTTACAATGTGAGGAAGTATTTGTCTCAATAACCTTATTGGTGGTTGAACCACTTTGCGGGCACCAACCAACCACCTTCAAGCTTCTCCAGCTTCGGCTGTAAAACAGATTTGAGTTTTTTCTTTGGAATAAATGACTAGTTCATGATGATGCAACAGATGTTCTTTGCAATGAAAATCTAGACTCTTTGAATGATTGTCCTACTGGATAAACTATCAGTTTGTGAAATTAAGGTGTTCAAATCCAATTTAATCCGATTTCCTTTGCCTTTGAATTAGTTTTACTAAAAAAATATAAGTGTGACTAAAAAAAAGAAAATATTTTACCACAGAACAGTATGATGCAAGGGTCCTATTGTCTTAAAGGTATAGTGGAAGATTTTCGCGAAAAAATAAATAAATAAGTAAATGCGCATATACAAACCTGTAACCGCTCGTGAGAGGGAACTCTCATTAAACGCGTGCGAGAGCGTGCACAAGTCCATTTCTACTCGTGCATGCTGTTTAAAAGTTGCTGTTTGCATCGCTCGTACAAGATTACTGTCCAAAAGATTTGCAAGTTTTCCACTATGACAGACTCACCACCGGTAAGTGAAAATAGGGACGAGCACATAGGATGGCCAGTCATCAAAATGATTTATAACCTGGAAAAAAGAAGATCCTCCACTATACCTTTAAGTAAAAGAGACATATGTTTGTGTTTAAGGATCTGTTACAATGGTAAAAGTGCTGAAAATAAGATTTTCCCTCATTTCCAGGTGCACCTGATGAACCCTGAGAATGTACCGAAGCCGTGCTGTGCCCCCACCAAACTCAATGCCATCTCAGTGCTCTTCTTTGATGACAACTCCAATGTCATCCTGAAAAAGTACAAAAACATGGTGGTACGCGCCTGTGGCTGCCACTGACACCAAGCACCAGGGAGGACTGGGCCAGGCTCACCTCAGCCGGACATCTTTTCTCAGATAATGGACATATTTCAATAAAAAACTGCTTCGAAGAAAAACATCCGCCCATCTGTTGTGGGACCAGTCATACTGCTGCCTTCCTCCCCATCTCCTCTTTGATTGAAAACATGGTGGATGACGTCTGAGGAGACAGACTAAAGATCAGTTTCCTTGCTCAGCTGATAGAGAACCTGTAATATCCAGATGGGAATAAACGAGGCCAGTGGTAACTTCACAGCAAATGTAAACTGATGCATCAGTCAGTGCATTCGTATTTATCCTCTTTCCTACTGTATTTTCCTCTCAAGCCATATTTACTTTCCCAAAAATATAATTTGGACTCGACCAAAGTGACCGCATTCTGTTTTAGTAGCAGACTCCTCCAAATAATGCTCTCTGAGTCAATATTTGCCAAGTTCAGGCTGAGATGCAGCTTCACATGATGCACGTTGAGGCCAAACTCTTGTTTTTCTACAAAAAGGAGCGAAATTCAGCCCTTTTACCCTCCTACATGCCACAAACGGACATTTGTTTTTCTACAATTGCAAAGCTCACAAACACATCTAACCCAGACAAGAGATTGTGGAAAAACATTTACAGAGACTAAAACAGCCACTTCTTCTCTTCTGTAAACCCTAGAGCGACATTATGCTCAGATTTAGCCGCAGCGTCTTCCCATCTGAGCATGTTACTGTGAGCCTTAATCAAGTATTTAAGAGAACATATTTGAACCAAAAATAATGTATCCAAACCAATCACAGTACCTTTTGTGCCTAACCGAACTTAAATATTATATACCTCTGGAAAGCTGCTGTTTACATTTGTGATCATTTTCAGACTGTTTTTGTAAATACGTGTACATTTTCAGCTTATTTATTGCACCTTTTACTGAAAAAAAATACCACATTAAAGCCAGAAATAAAAAATAAAAATACAAACTGATTTTTGAAAAATTTATTATGAAATCTCGTCACAACTTGCCATGTTTTTTTCATTTTTCTTTTTTTTACAAAACATCTCATTCCCCATGAAAAAGACAAAATATATATACTGTCATCAGACTTGATTTTAGACCATGTGGTTTTTAAAGAAAAAAAATGACTGCCGTAAAAAATACTGCCGGTGTTGCCCGTCTGTGTACCTGGGTTGGACAATAAAAAGTCCTACATCACAGCATGTTTTTCACATAAGCAGGAACAAGAACATAAACTGACACAGGCGGGTGGATGGAGTTTGCTACATGTAGGGTCATTATATTCAAAAAAACTATTGAAATAATTTCTCCAGAAAAGAGGCAGATTTCTATATGTGAAAACAAATGGATTTGGTGCAACTTAAGTTTTGATTTTTAACCCCTACTCAGGTGCTTATAATTTTTTTTTTCAAGAAATATTGATCTGTTTTTTTTATTTCAAACTGCTAGCAGGAAAATAATCTATGGATTAGACCTAAAAAATACAAAACAATCAAGTTATAAAGACAAGAATTACCCTAAGCAGGCTTTTCTTATCCTCTTAACTTTATATCCTTTATCCACCTAAGCCTAACAAAAATAACTGGTGCATGACTTAAGATACCAAATGTGTATAAAAATAAAAGGCTGATAGATGAAGGTGACTGATCGCTTCATGAAAAGAATCTGGTCTTCATTCATGGGTCAGATAATTACATGTTCTGGTCCTGTTGGTTGTTTCCCTGAGGAGTTAAGTCAGATAGGCCATCAGTAGATAAATAACCCTCAACCTCATCTGTGGGATATCAATATTTTGACTCAAGTGCTGCAACAATAATGGCTTACAAGTGAAACATACTGAAAAACAAACAAACAAACATGTTTTTAATGAACATGTTGGTAGAGCTGTAGTTTTAGAGGGAATCACACTTCATCTACAGCCCCAACCAGCATCCTTACAAGATTTTAAACTTGGGAGATTTATAGAAAATACATTCTAATTTTTCTGTCTACAAAGAGAGACCCAGATGTTAAAATCCCTCTGGTGCTGGTTTAACTCCTTCTTGAAGGAAATAAAACTGTAGAGCGGGGGTGATGTCCTCCTGGTCACCACACGGGAGGAGAGTCCAGGTAAAGGAGCCGCGTCTGTTCCTACAGCTCGTCTCTCGCCTGCCTCATCACGAAGCTGTGCAGACTCTCCAGGTCCCGGCCTCCGTGATGCTCGTCACCCTGCTCCCCGGCTTTGAAGATGATCAACGTGGGGTACCCTCGGACCTAAGGAAAAGAAAAAAAAACATCACTATCAGGGGTTTGTTTAATCACCAGTTTGAGAGACTTTTATTGGTAACACCTACAGAATACTTGTTGCACAGCGTGCGCTCCACGGTGCAGTCCACTTTGGCAATCTTCACGTCGGTGAGGCCAGGAAAATCCTTCTTGGAGAGATCATCCCAAGTCGGAGCGAGATGCTTGCAGTGGCCACACCTACACAGCAGGAGAGCAGGTGTCACTTTACTGACTGACAGATCACAGATCGCATCATTGTGAAGAAATAACATAAAACCTGCAGTATGAAACTCCACTTATTTAATCAGCTTTTAATAAGATAACCTAATAAGAGTCAGTCTATTAGATTTTACATTAAATAATTCAATTATTTACTTACATTTTGAAACAATGCAATGAACATGACTTTAGCGACAGCAAGTGAGCTAATCAAAGACCTTTATTTAACTTTAATGTTCACTAAATTAGGTCATAAATACCAGACAGACTTTTCAAGCTCTTACTTGACGTTATTTTGAAGTGCTGTCACTCAATTCAGATGGGAAAAAAATCTAAATAAATAAAAAGAACATCTAGAAAAGCATGCAGACCTCTGCTAGGAACCGGCTAAAACTCAGAGATTATCTGGATCATTACCGAATTTTTATTAATTGTTCCTTGGCATGAAGTCTGGTAACAATTAACTTTAAAAACCTTTCATAAGTGTATAAGTTGAGCACAGTGTATAAGTGTATAAGTTGTGTCTGTGTTTTTACAGTTGTGTCAACTGTAAAAGGCGGCCCCTAGTTCAATTATTTTAAAGATTCACTTGTTCTATTTGCTTTTTCCCGTTTGTGGCAGTATTGCAGATCTTACCATGGAGCGTAGAATTTGACAAAGGTGAAGCCCATTGCCACAGTCTCTTCAAAGTTGCTCTCAGTCAGCACCAACACATCGGACTGCAAAGACAACAGCAGTGATGGAATAGTTAATCCTTATAGATCAGAAGGAAACTGAAACCCATCACTTCAAAATATCATCCATTGTGACAGTAGGAGTTAAACTTTTGCATATTTTATTGATGATACTGACTCAAACATTTCACAGAGATGTCAAAAGTAACAATGTTTATTACTCAGGTTGAAGTAGAAATTATGCTGCTTAAAAACACTTGCAGAAGCATCAATTTAAGCTTTGTACAAAAAAAAAACATTTTCTAAACTACTTAAATTATAAAAGAAAATGTATAGCAGGATAAAGTGTTAAATGCTTTACTGCACTTGTCTTTCAAAGTAACTTTTTTTTTTTTTTTTTACAATTCTGGATGATAACCTCTTTATACTTAATTTTCTTAGTTTTATAACTAATGGTAACAGTGTAAATTTTTTCTTTGCATCATCTTGAAAAACGATTTTGGTATGAGGCGAACAACAAGTTGGTTGACAGCTCTGTCTGTTCAGTAAAGTTTAAGAAACTTTGAAAAGGTTGAAAGTTACTACATTTAGCAATGAGCAACTGGCAGCACTGGCTGGAGATAACCAACCTAAAAAAAAAAATTGGAAATCAACTGTATAAGAAGGAGTTTAGTACATATAAAAAGAGCGTAGCTTTAATTCAGGCCCTAACAAGCTTCCACAGATTCTGTTTGAGGCCAACAGGGAAATGTTCCAGACTCCAGCATTGGTCAGGACTATTAGCCTTCCTTTCTCTTTCTTCTTCCAGGTAGTAACATCACAGCCAGACAAAAAACCTTTACCGTCAGTGAACCTGATGAACAAACTTTATTGGTCTACTGTCAAGACGACAGGGCAACTAAAGAACAACTGACTTTCATTAGCGGCCTAATGTTGCCTTTTTAGCACAACATTCTTTGCCAAACATACTTTATTTTAAAGGTTTGTTGAAATTCGGAAACAAAGCCATGGCTAAAACTTATTTCCCAAAATTTTCAAATTTCAGTCCATACAATATAATACCATTATCGATATAAATGTAAGAAAAACTGCAAAGAAAGCCCAAAACAGACGTCTGTAAAAACTATTTTGTCAAGTTCATGTCATTCCTCCAACATAAAATTTTAGAAAAGCCTCTACAAAGAAATCTATTTTTATTTGGAGCCCAGAGTCAAACAGATTACAAGTAAATTTAACCAGGCGATAATCTGTACCTCCTATTTATCAGTTCATGGGTTCTTTCCTTTTACAGTTATGTCATTGCCTCCTTATTGTCATTTAAAGAAGAAACAATCCTAAGCCTGAAAGTCAAAGATCAGTAAGAAATGAGAATAACTTATAGCTGGCTCTGAAAATACAAACTAAAGGTTCCCAGTCAATTCTGAAACCTCATATTTCTGATAAACCTGCATTGTAACTGAAGATAAATACTAGCTTCTCGTAAAGATTTATCCTGTTAATATTTCTCCACTTTTTGCTCACTAATGCTAAAGCCTCGCCTTATTTTCTCCTATTTTTAAATGAAAACTGTTATTTTTTCACCCCATATCTTTGAGCAAATCTAAACCAGCTTCCCAGGACAAACTAAACCCTAATTACAGCAACTCATCCCATAATACAACAGGACAGTTGGTGGTAACGAGGTCACGCTCTGCTGCTTTCTGTCCTCTTTTGTTTAAAAGCTGCACACTGCTCTCAGCTCTTCTAACTTTAGGCTACCTGACTAGTTCTTAGCAACATTATAACTGCATTTTCTTTCTCAGTCCATGGGTTCCTTCCTCTTGGATGCCAAAATGTTGAACATTTCTTTTTTATTTTTTGAGTTAAAACGTCACCAGTGGCTCATTTTTTGGACAGTAGGCAGACAGGAAAGGGGGTAAGAGAGAGGGGGAGAGACATGCAGGAAAGCACCACAGGCCAGATTCGAACCCCGGTCGCCAAAGACTAAGGCCACCGTACATGGGTCGTGGGTGCCAACCACTGCTCCACCTGCACGCCCCAAAATCTCAAACATTTCTAACATGTCTGCTGTATTTACCCACCTTCACCTCCTCTGCAGGCTCCTCAGTGAGAATCTCATTAGCTTTTTGCTCATCGGCTGGTTCCTCTTTTTGCTCTGGAGTGAGTGCAGCTTTCAGCTGGTTGTCCACAAAGTCTTTGAAAGAGTCCAAGTCTCTCTTCCCTTTGTATTGTTCCGTCTAAAAAAATAAAATAATAACAGTAAGAGCATCATTACAACTTGAGTTGATCCTACACACAAAAACAAATAAGAGGAGTCAGCTTTCACACCTTTTGTCCATTGTGGAAGAACAGTAGTGTTGGGTATCCTCTGACACCGTTCTCAGAGCACACCTCGTAGTGCTGTGTGCAGTCCACCTGGGTCACAGACAGGAACCACAGAATGAGTGAAACAGTGCATTGCTGATGAGCCTCCCATGCAAACATGTGGCAGCTCATATGATTACCAACCTGCTCCGTCACACAGATAAACTGACAGTACAAAGTACCCTGCACTAAAGAGAGCAGATAAAGCACAACTCCATCCCTGCAACAGCAGTATCTCAGATTACCAGCATGCAGTAAAACAATCCAACACAATGAAGTTTAAGACTTACAGAAAGACAGGAATAAAATATGGAAAACTTGTAAAACGTTTTTGGTCTTCATCTGAGGAACTTACCTTTCCTATCTTGACGTCTTCAGTGTGCTCAAAGGTGGAGGCCAGCTGCTCCCAGGTCGGAGCCATGGCTTTACAGTGGCCGCACCAGGGTGCAAAGAACTTAATGAAATGGGAACCTGGATCCAGAACACAGAACCAGTCACATAAAAAAAAGATGCCATGCATTTAAGGGTTTTGCTTTACAAAAAAATAAAAAATAAAATAACTTTCTATCATAGCTCACAAAAAAAGAGAAAAAAAGTGTACAGGTTTTATAAAGACAGAAATGATGAGTCTTGAAAGCATACATTTTAATAATCAACCTTTCCTCTTACTGAAGCGGTTTATTTTTCCAGCTAACGGTCCAGAAACTTCAGGTGACAGGATACGTTATTTAACAGCTAGTTACTGTCTGAATTATGTAAGTCAGATATTCAAATCAAAGCAACGAGCCGTTTCCTTTCTCTAATGAGGGTAACAGAAATGTACCAGTGGGGATGAAAACTGAGAAAATCATTCAAATACCAAACAAAAGTGAAACTGCTTCCTTTTACAGCTGTACAGCTGCAGCACAAAAAGAAACGTCCTTATTAACTAGTGAATGAAGCATAACATGTACCTTTGGATATGTGTTCCTTAAAGTTTGAAGCGGTGAGCTCATACATGCCCTGTTTGGGCTCAGGAGCTTTAGGAGGTTCTTGTTCGCTCTCTGGTTCCTGCACGGCAAAAGCAGGTAGAACTTGTTTGTTATTTGTATTTTATTATGAAAAATAAGTTTATGGTGGATTGCTGAGAGAATGACACCCACTGAAGGTTCCTCTTGAAGAGTCTTCAGCATCCACGTCTCCAAAGACTGCAGATCTCTGGATCCCTGGTACTTCACTGGTTCCTGATCGGGCTTAAACAGCTTCAGTCTAAACACACAAAAACGGAAAATCTTTTGTTTTTGTGATTGCAGATGTAGAGAGACATCAGCAGAAAGATTAGAGTTTAGCCATGAAGAAGGATGCTGGCATAATATTTAACTAACCACGGGTCAATGTATCGCCTCTTAATGGCTAATAAAAAACAAGGCTATTCAAAGCTGTGAGGGGTTTGTTAACTTAGCTTGTGGAGTAAATTTTAAATCAAAAGTTGGATCCAGTTTGTTTCAGTTTCACCCATACAAAAAAATGTTACAAGTCTCACTTATGAAAGAAATGAAGGTTCAAAGTCAGCTAGACAGATAACTAAGGGTTCTTATCCCTAAAAACACATCAAAACTGTGGATACAATGATTTAAAATATAGATTACCTTATACAATATTTAGACATTATGATCTTAACCACTGCTGATCATGTTTTGCAGGTCATTATTTTTGGATGGGTTTTTCTCTCCCCATTAAAATGTAAACCTAACTAGCCCCGTCTATGTCTATCTGTGTGTTATTCAGAACTTACGTGGGATATCCCCTAACGCCGTGCTCGCTGGAACAGAACTTGGTGTTCTGGACGCAGTCTACTTTCACCACGTATACAGGTGGATCATCCATGCCGTTGTATTTGTCGGCCAGTTCGTTCCATGCAGGCTGCAGTCTCTGGCAGTGGCCACACCTGGACGGAGAGTAATAAACTGGGTTAATGCAGAAGTTCGAATCACCAAAATATTGGAGTTTTCCCGTTGCCGACATGTTTGCAGCTCATCTTAATGTGCAGTGAGAACGGATTAGTGGACGAACTCGCAGGCTGCAGGAGGCAGTCAGTAAAAGCTCAGAGCAGCGGGGAACTGTGCTTTATAGATTTGAAAGAGGTATGGAAATTTGACAAAAATGATCCCTGTTTAACATCTTTTGTTTAGCCCAATAGGTCCAGCCTATAGGAGCATCTGAGGCTATTTGTGTTTTGAGTATGAAACTTTATAAGATTCCATTGAATAACATTAAAATAGAAACTCAATATTAAGTTTTAAAAAGTTGTATATTATAGCGTTCCTCCATCTTCCTCCATAAAGATGCAGGCAAACAATCTTAATCATGTATTATCAATTTGTACTTGCACAGCCTCGATCGAGTTTTTTTGCAATCTGATCCGATACCTTGGCTAAGCACATGGGCAGACACCTGACACTGATCAAAAACAGTTAAATAAATGAACTGTACACATTGGCATGTAAATGATGGCATCAGGTTTGTCATAAATATTCTTTGGGGGAAAAAAACTAGCTGCTGTGCATGCTCTGTGTGATGATGTAACCGGCATGGCAAACATAGAACTAAAGTGAATAGATTGAATAGAATAGAAA